CACCAAACGCCACACATACACTACCAATACCAACACAACACAAACAAACACTAATTCTAAACCATCATCGCACTCAACCCACAACAACACATCAACACACCAACAAAATACCGAAACACAGAGGCTGACAAACAGTCACTATAGACAACAAACAACGACACAACCGCCAAACACTAGCAAACGAACAAAAAGCGAGCACAATCAATCACCAGAGACTTCGTCACATACACACACATCAATCCGAAATCACACAAAACCAGAGCACACACAACACAACAGGAATAAAGAACCTGACGACGGCGCAACTACACACGACCAATCACACAACAACAACCCGCACAAACCCTAATCAAACGCACCACCACACAAACGCACCACAACAAACGCAACCACACAACGCCACACACAACACAAACCACAAATCACACAAACGCGCACTAACACAAAAACGCACACACACCACAAACGCGCCCACACACCACAAACCGCACCACCACCCACCCCTCCGACATACCACATTAACGGAGGCTAAGCCACAGTCTGCCATACGTCTAGCTATTGGCCACACAACCATCTAATACTAACAACGAAAACACACCTGATTATCTCCTTTTCGGCTCACGCAAAGACCGTGGATCAAGAAATGCTAATATCTGCCGTCCCTCAAAGTTCCTCCGTATAATAAGATATGTATTTTGTTCTCTTATTGATTCGCAGTTAAATAATAGAATTTCCTCCATGATACATTAACCAGCTATATCTAAATATTTACCACAAATAACTTTTCTTATAAACAAATAGAAACTTTTATCCCTCCTATAGCGATTTTACTTAATTCGACCATCCAAAAGTAACTCCATAAGGTAAAAAGCTTTATTTTGAAATATATTAAAAATGAATACATTTTATGTATTGCCAAGTTCCCTGCCCATTTTATTTTCATCTTACATAAAATTTACGGACCAGAACAGCCTACATAATACCACGAATATCCAAAGCCAATATATTATAGGAGAGTGAAAACGCTATTAGATTATTTATAATTTACGATATATAATAGTTCAAGCAGTCGGTCAAACCGAATATCAAAACCCCCAACCCCCCTTTCATATATTGTTTTTTTGAGAACCGTTTTTTTTTTCTTATTACCATTAATTAACACCATTTTTTTATTTTTTCCTACACTTTTTCTTCCTCATTTATTCCAAATGTCACTCTTCTACTGAAGAAATAACCGAATTAATATTTCACCCCACACAGAAATATAATGTAATAATAACATCACGTATTTTCCTATTTATTTTTAATTCAGGAAGAGAACGGACAACAAAGAAACAAGCTTTATTCATACAATCCTACAAATGTTTTGATATACTTCGCAACAACTAGCTGTTTATTAAGTGCTCAGGTAAAGTGATAATTACTGTTTATGTTTTTTACTATTATTCATTTACTATCATTGTTATTGCTATTGTGTCATTTATTATTTTTCATTGTTTTTTATTACCATATTTGTTATTATTATAATTATCATCTATTATTATCATCATCATTATCATGATAGTAATAATGGCAGTAGTAATGAAAAATAGTATTGATAATAATCATGATAACTCTTATCATTGTTATTATGATTATTATCAAAATTATTATTATTACTTTTATTATCATTATCATCATCATCATCATCATCATTGTTATTATTATCATTATCATTATTGTTGTTATGATCATTACCATAACCATTATTATAATTGCCATGATAAAATAATGATAATTAGGATGATGATGATAATAATTATTATTATTACAATTACTACTAATACTATTATTATCATCATCACCACATATAATTATCATCATTATCATTATCAATATTATTATTTATTTTCTTATCATTATTGTCATTTTTATTATTACTATTTCATTATCGTTATTATTCTTATTAATGTTTCTTCTTATTACCATTATTGTTTTTATAATCATTATTATTTTCATTATCATTATTATTATTATCATTATTATTATTATCATATATATTATCATTCTTATTATTGTTATTATTACCATTATTCTCATTAACATTATTACTAATATCATCATTATCATTGATATTATCATTATTATTATTATCATAATCATAATCATCATTACTATTATCATCATCATTATCATTAAGATTGCTATCATTATTGCCATTAGTGTATGTGTATTACTGTGCTGTTGTGTGTGTGTGTATATATGTAATGTTTATGTATCCATGTACACACACACACACACACACACACACACACACACACACACACACACACACACAACACACACACACACACACACACACACACACACACACACACACACACACACACACACACACACACACACACACACACACACACACACACACACACATTATCAACATTATTACCATTTGATAAAAAAAAAAAAAAAAAAAATCTTTTCTTCCCCAGGTCAGTGCAGTGGGACGGAGACCTTCGAAAAGGTTACCAGAACGACAGTCAGAGGCATCACAGGGATTCCTCTCTTCTCGAACGCTGGCAACACTGTCACCAGCGACTGTCTGTCCAGGTGGGATTTTTTGTTTTGTTTTGTTTTTCTTCTTTTCTTTTTTTCTTTATTTCGTTCTTTTTTTTCTTTCTTGTTCTTTTTTTTTTAATCTGCCGGTTAGATATTCGTTTTGTTGACATATTATATTGATATATCATCGTCATACCTGGTATTTATCCACGTAAATTGTTCGTTTTATTTATTTGGAATCATCATTCAGTGTGTAATAATCGTTCCTTTATCTATTTATTTACTTCATTTATTTAAGGTATCATTATAAAATAGCATTATCATGATATATTTATTTTTTATTTACATAATTATTGTTATTATTATGATTATCATTGTTATCATCATAAAGATAGTAGTAATAATAATGATGATAGTAATGATGATGATAATAACAATAATGATCATTATCATTGTCATTATTATTATTATTATTATCCTTATCGTTATTATCGTTATCATCATCATCATCACCACCACCATTATTTACACTAATATGTAACTTACCATTAACCCCTTATCAACCCCTTATGATGTTATCATCATCACCAGTATCATGTACACCTGATTAATCCCTTATTATATTTTTGTTGTCATTATTGCCATCACAAATCCTAAAATAACCCCATAAAAGCGTTTTATAACCATTAGCATTATCAAAAATATAAAAAAGGTGTTCCATTTTCTTCCTTACCAACACCTTAATAGCATTACAGTTATCGAAGAAATATAATGAGCGATTACTCACCATTTTACTGCCATTAACATTACCTTAAGTCCTTAATTAATCGCTTACAAACCCCTTATCACCATTACCATTACCATAAAATCCATTCATTCATTACCATTACTTGAAAGCCCAAAATCCCCCCCCCCCCCCCCATGATCCTCACATGATGATTCCAACAATCAAAAATCGCCAAGGAATCGCCTTCTCCTCACCTCTACCATTACCATACTTAAAAAATCCCCATAAATCCCGTGTTTTTTACCTCATCGCCATTACCATTCCTTATTAATCCTTGTTAATCCTCTGACCCTTATCATATTACCTGTTGCCATTCTTTAAAAAAAAATCCCTAATCAGTTCTATGGCCTCATTACTATTCTTAAAAATCCCCCGTAAAATCCCCCTACCCTCATCTCATCCCCCATTTTTAAAATCCCAACTGAATCCTTCCCTCAATACCATTACTTTTATTTTAAAATCCCTAATTAATCCCTGCACTCACCTCATTACCATTCCTAAAATAATCCTGATTAATTCCTACCCTCAGCACCATTACCATTATTATGGCGATTTTCTCTACCATCGCCCACCATCACATCAAATTACATTATAGTTGTAGAGTAAATCCCATACCATTACCCCATTCCCATTTACCATTTATCAAAAAATCATAAAAAAGGAAATAAATGAATAAATAAAATACAAATAAATTAAAAATCTCTTCGGCATCCCTGCATAAATAGATAAAATAGATAAATAAAAAATCTCTTCAGATTCCCTGCCATAAAATAAATAATAAATAAATAAAAAATCTCTTCAGATTCCCTACATAAAAATAAATAAATAAGTAAATAAAATCTCTTCAGATTCCCTGCATAAAATAAATGAATAAATAAAAATCTCTTCAGATTCCCTGCATAAAATAAATAAAATAAATAAATAAAAATCTCTTCAGATTCCCTAATGCATTCTCCCGCCAACAGATGTCGCCAGTCCCGCAGCTGCTCGGGGTTTCTATTGAACTACGACCGAGAATCCTGCTTCCGCTTGGACAGGGTCGCCTACAGCTCGGGGGCGGCACTCCAGCCCACGCTCGAGCCCATTAACTTCTTCGAGAAAATCTGTATTACAGGTGAGGTTGGGGAAGGTGTGTGGGTTGGGCGAAGGGGGGGAAAGGGAGGGGAGAGAGGAGAGGGAAGGGTGGGAGAGAGGAAAGGGAGGTAGGAAAGAGGAGGAAGAAAGGAAAGGAAAGAAAGAAAGGAGGGAAGGAGAGAGAGAAGAGAGAGATAGAGAAGAGGGGGGGGGAGGAGTGAGAAAGAAAAAAATGTAAAATGTGAACGTCATACGCCAACAGTTTTATTATTTTGACTTAAATTTTTGTCACGCTTTCTGAACTATGATAATGACAGTATTCTATCTCTGTCTCTCTATCTATCTATCTATCTATTTGTTTATCTATCTTTCCCATTCCTCTCACCCTCGATTCCCCACCTTCTCTCCCATCCACCCCACCTCTCTTCATCTCCATATTCACCCCCCCTATCCCTCTCCTCTCCCCCCCAGCGAGTCCCTGCGGCAAAGACTGGATGCTGGAGCGCGTCGTCGGGTTCGAGATCGAAGGCTACGACGACATAGTGCTGAACAACGTGCCCGACAGACTGAAGTGTGCTGAACTCTGCATCCGGGAAAAGGGTCTTCAGTGCCGTAGCGCCGAGTACCATACCAGGTAATGTTTGTTATGTTGTTAAGTATTTAGACGATCAAGTGAAGTGTATGCTGTTAAGTAATTTCGATGATCGGTGAAAGTGTATGCTGTGTTATGTGATGATCAGGTGAAGTTGGTATGCTGTGTTAGTCATTTAGATGATCAAGTGAAGTGATATAGTGATATGCTTGTGTTCAGTAATTTAGATGATCAAAGCTGGTATGCTAGCTTTAGAGTAAGATCAAGTGAGTTGATATGTCATTCAAATTACAAGTGGAGTGGATATGATGTGTTAGAGTAATGTAGATGATCAAGTGAAGTTGATTTGCTGTGTATGTGATGTAATGATCGGGTGTGAAGCTGTATGCTGTGTTCAGTAATTTAGATGATCAGGTGAAGTTGATATAGTTGATGTGCTGTGTTAAGTAATTTAGATGATCAGGTGAAGCTGGTAATAAAAAATTTCAGAAGATAAGGATGATCAGTGAAGCGTGGTGTTTGTTCAGTAATTTAGATGATCAAGTGAAGTTGATATGCTGTGTTAAGTAATTTAGATGATCAGGTGAAGCTGGTATGAGTAATTTAGATGATCAGGTGAAGCTGGTATGTTGTGTTAAGTAATTTAGATGATCAGGTGAAGCTGGTATGCTGTGTTAAGTAATTTAGATGATCAGGTGAAGGTTGATATGCTGTGTTCAGTAATTTAGATGATCAGTGTGAAGCTGGTATGTTGTGTTAAGTAATTTAGATGATCAGTGAAGCTGGTATGCTTGTGTTAAGTAATTTAATGATCAGTTGAAGCTGGTATGTTGTGTTTCAGTAATTAGAATGATCAGGTGACAGCTGTATGTTTTGTTAAGTAATTTAGATTGATCAGGTGAAGCTGGTATGTTGTTACTATTTAATGATCAGGTGAAAGCTGCTATGTTGTGTTAAGTAATTATAGACATGATCAGGCGTTGAAGCTGCCAGTGTATTTACTAGTGTTCAGTAATTTAGATGATCAGGTGAAGCTGGTATGTTGTGTTAAGTAAATTTAGATGATCATTTGGTGAAGCTGGTATGTTGTGTTTTAGTAATTTAGATGATCAGGTTGAAGCTGGTTATTTTGTTCAGTAATTAGATGATCAGGTGAAGCTATGTTGTAAGTAATTTAAGATGATCAGGTGTGAAGTGCTAAGTGTTCATAATTAGATGATTGAAGTGTGTTGTAGTTAGTCATTAGCATGAATCCTCATAGTCCATTAAGTGGAGCTTGATTTGCTGCGTTAAGTAAATTTGATCAAGAAGTTGATATGTTGTGTTTAGTCAGTTTAAATGATACATGGAAAGTACTATGCTGTATGTTCAGTAGTTATAGTGATAAAAGTGAAGCTGGTAATGCTGCGTGTTAGGTATTTTAAACATTATCTCAAGTGGAGTTGATTTGCTGTTAAGGTAATTTTGCATCAAGTGAAGTTGATATGTGTGTTAGTATTTTAAATGATCAAGTGAAGTTGATATGCTGTGTTCAGTAGTTTAGATGATAAAGTGAAGCTGGTATGCTGTGTTAGGTCATTTAAATTATCAAGTGGAGTTTAGATGATCAAGTGTTGATATGTTGTGTTATGTGATGTACTTGATCAGGGGAAGCTGGTATGCTGTGTTATTTAATTTAGATGATCAAGTGGAGTTGATGTGCTGTGTTATGTGATGTACTTGATCGGGTGAAGCTGGTATGCTGTGTTAAGTAATTTTTAATTTATCAAGCGGAGTTGATATGCTGTGGTTAAGTAATTTCGATGATTCAAGTGGAGGTTGATATGTTGTTAGGTCATTCAACATTATCAAGTGGAGTTAATATCCTGTGTTCAGTAAGTTAAATGATCAGCTTGATGTTTAAGTGATTGCAAGTCATCACGGTAGAATGATGTGGTAAACTTGGAGATCAAACTAGGTGCTGAAAGCTACATCTTGTAATGTAAAGTATAATATTAAGTAATATATGGGCCAACTGAATCTGTTAATATGTAATGTATATAGCACCAATACTGCTACTAATATAAAAATGGATAAAATAGTGATATTGCTAATTCAAAACAATAATAGTAATAATAATATAATAACAATGATAAAGGTAATATTAATAGCAATAATAATGGTAACGGTGATGATAATTATTCACAATTAATAATAACCAGTCATAGTCACAATAATGATAAGGGTAGTAGAAATAATAGTAATAATAATAATGATAATAATGGTAATCATGATAATGCTAATAACAATGGTAATAATGATAATGGTAATAATAATAAGAGCAATGATGATTACAATAACTATCGGGACATGAAAATTCCATAGCACAGAAAGTAAGAGGTACTCCTCTCTTCCTCTTTCACCTCCTCCTTCTACCTTTCGCCCCCTCTCCCCTTTCTTTTCCCTTCCTAGTTCTTCCACCCCCACTCACTCCTAAATTTTCTTTCAATCCACTCCTCCCTCCTTCTTTAAGCCTTACATCTCCCCCCCCCCCCTGCCACTTCCCTCCTCCTCCGCCCGCTCTTTCACTCCTTATCCCATCCCTTTCTCTCCCTCCCTCACCCCTTTTTTTTCTGAGCCCCCCCCGCCCCCCTTCCTCTTACCCATTCCTTATGCCTAAGACCCCCTCCGTATCCCTTCTGTTCTTCCTCCTCGCCCCTTCCTTCCTTCTTACCCCCCCCCCCCCCAAGAGAGTCTTGAAAACAATAATTGTACACAGATTAACGGCCTAATTACTTAAGTTCAGGACTTCCCTCGAAGAAGATTGATGATGATGATGATAAAAGATAATAATGATGATAATTGATAATGATGATTATGAAAATAATGATAACAACAACGATAATGATGGTAATAACATGGTATTATGATAGGATTCTTATAGATTCCTATAATGATAATCGTCATTCAATGATGTTTATATTGTCAATCGTCACCGAAATGAATCGACTTCAAAACCACACTCTCAAGGAACACCATTTCAAGGATAAGACGCCCAATTTGCATCAAAACGAAGGAAATTGAAAGCCTTAGTCAAATGAAATATATTTCAGACGTGAAATTTAAAACTAAACCTACGAATAAACGAAACAAAAGCAAGATTGTAATATAGATAGATACCAAAACGATCGTAATACCAGCAGTACCAATAGCCGTAATCGATCATGACACCATAGCTATCAAGAAGGATATCCAGCAATGCCTTTCCACGTCTCAGGGACAACGTGTGCCGCCTGAGCCGCCAGGACCGAAGGACTCAGCCGCTCAGCTTCCGCCCAGCGTCGCCCCACGTGATGTACATCGAGAACCAGTGCGCGCCAGGTGAGGCCTCGGCAGCTCTGTCAGCGGTTTGTGATGTTTATGTACACGTGCTTGTGTGCGCGTGTGTGTGTGTATGTGTGTGTGTATATATATATATATATATATATATATATATATATATAAATATATATATATATATATATATATATATATATATATATATATATATATATATATATATAGAGAGAGAGAGAGAGAAGAGAGAGAGAGAGAGAGAGAGAGAGAGAGAGAGAGAGAGAAAGAAAGAAAGAAAGAGAGAGAGAGAGAGAGAGAGAGACACACACCACACACACACACACACACACACACACACACACACACACACACACACACACACACACACACACACACACACACACACACACACACACACACACACACACACACACACACGCACACACACGCGCTCTCAACTTACGATGACATACCGAACCCACTCAACCCTTTGCGTCCAGGGAGCCATTCCTCCCCACTGAAGCTCCCTCGGCTCTCCCTTCCCCAACAGCCACACAGCAGCAGCAGTGCGAGTTCGAGGAGTTCCCGGCGCAGGACCTGGGTCATGGCGATAAGCAGATAGCAGTCCGGTCGAAGGAGGAGGTAAGGTTTGAGTCGGTGATTGTGGTTTTGATGGGTTTTTGGATAATGAGAATCAGCGCAATAATGAGGGTTTTGATGGTGAAGACAATGATGATTATTATGATATCATTAACAGGAATAACCGTAATTAAAAAGATAAGGATGAAGACGATGATTATGATATTGTTGACAGTAATAACCATAAATAGAATGATAATGATGAAGACAATGAGGATGATTATGATATCACTGACAATAATTACCATAATAACCATGATTAAAATGATAATGATAATAGTACTAACAGACGAATGTAGTAATAACAATCACTATAATAATCAAAACATCAACTTCACATCCTATCATCTAGTCATCTTTACCTCAACTGAATCTAATTCGTCCCAACCAATCCAAATTTTCCCTTCAACTCGAACCGCTTAACCCGATCTTTCCCTTTCGCCTGTAGTGCCTCCAGGCGTGCGAGTCGGAGGCCGCCTTCAACTGCCGCTCCTTCGCCTGGTACGAGAGAGCCGGCGTCTGTAGGCTCTCCGGGGACGACCTCGTCTCCGCGGGCCTTCGGCGCTTGGGGACTTGCCGGGCGCCACGTGGATGCAGAGGTCGCCGTGCTTGGACTGTGAGTTGGGGAGGGAGGGAGAGGAAGGGGGAAGGGATAGAAAAAAAGGGAGGGAGGGAGGGAAAGAAAAAGGGAAGGAGGGAAGGAGAGGAAAAGGGAGGGGAGGAGGGAGGAGGGAGGGAGAGGGAAAAAGGAAGGTGGGGGGAAAAAGGAAGGAAGGGGGGGGGAGAGGGGAATAAGGGAGGAGAGGAATGAAAGAGAGACGAAGAGAGAAAAACAGTTTATTTTCTTTTTTGCGGGCAAAAAACATAAATATAGTGGTGAATGCTTAAGGAAGAGGAGGAACTAAAAGACAAAAATAGAAAAAAAAAGCCATGAAAAAGAGAAACCTCAGCTTTCTCAATTCTCATCTTACAACACCCACATCCACCTAAATCCACCTACTCGTCTCCACCGCAAGCTGTTCACCCACCTCCTCCTCTCTCCACAGTGGAACTCGGCTGCACTGTCGACGCCATGACTGTTCACCTGAACACGCCAGAACCCTTCAGAGGGCGCCTGTTCTCCAGAGATTTCCCCGGGAGTTGTCAGTCCAGAGATGTTGGCAGAACTGACACCACTCTCACCATCAAGGTTTGTGATTGTGATTGGGTTCGAAGAGGATTTCGACTAGTGTGTGTTGACTTCGAATCATGCGATCTTTCCCTGTGGTGACTAAAGGTGCTGCCACTTTAGGATTTTTCCGTCATTTTTTTTTTTTTACAATTTTCTGAAATTTTGTCCATTTTTGAGCGAATTGTCGATTATCAAGTCAGATGATAATGATCGTCTCCGTCTGAAAACCTTTCCGTCAACTTTTTTTTCAGCCAAGCATAGTCAAATCAAGAGCTATTTCGAGAATGTTTTGTATTTATGTTCAATAAGATTGTCAGAAAATTGATGGAAAAAGTGCTAGTGTGACAGCACCTTAACTGTTATATGATAATTGCTTGTTATAGTACCAGTCATTATAACTATTATTATCATTTGTTTTGTTTGATTATTGTTTTTTTTTTCACCAACGTGTGATCTTTCCCTCTGGTGACTGTTATAAATAATTCATATAGTACATTATAACTGTTAACACTATTATCATTTGTTTTATTTAAGATGATTAATGTTTTTTTTCTTTCTTTCTTTTAAAGACCCGTTTAGTCCAAAAATCTACTCATCAAGGTCTATACTTACACAGACTTTGCTCAATATTACTTAACGCTTTGACTCGATAATTCCAAACATCACTCCATTCTACCCAAGGCTTTCTCACGTTCACCCAAACAGTTCAACGACCCGGAATGCGGCGTGGTTAACGAAGGAGATGGTGTCTATAGTAACGTGGTGGTCGTTCAACACCACCCTGTCATTCAACGAAGGGGAGACAAGGCCATCAAGCTAATGTGCTTATTTGAGACTACCAATAAGACGGTTACTGATAGCTTCAACTTCATTGTGGAGTAAGTGTTGTGTGGGGGTGTTTTTTTTTTTTTTTTTGGGGGGGGGAGAGGGAAGGAGGGTATGTTTGTGGTTGTGGTTGTTTTGTTTGTTTGTCTCTTATTGTTTGTGTTGTGGTTGTTTGAGTCTGTGGTTGTTTGTGTTTGTGGTTGTTTGAATCTGTGGTTGTTTGTGTTTGTGATTGTTTGAGTCTGTTATTGTTTGTGGTTGTGGTTGAGTCTGTGGTTGTTTGTGGCTTTGTGGGGTTGGGTGTTTTGTTTGTGGATTTTACGTGTGTTTGGCTTTGGTGAGTGTGTCTCTGCTGACTTTCCTGCGTATTGATATGCATATACATAATAATAACTGTTTTACTAATTTATGTGAGTGTACACGTCTTCATTTCCAAGGCATCTAGGTCTAATAGTTTCAAAATCGCTTCCATCTTATCAGTATATCAATTCATATATCAATTCATTCAATAGATTCTCTACCATAGTATTCTTTCATTCATTCATTCAGTCGACTATCAATCCATTGGTTAATATGCATTTAATATGTTAAAACTCGGATAATTTGAACTTTGCCTGAAAGGGTCACCTCGTTACTTTATCCTCATCGTTTAAGGGTCATTCCGACGGCTTATCTGTCTGTCCATCTTCATTTTCATTCCTTCTTTATTCCTCCATTCGTTCATGACAGCGATCATCAACGCGACGTTCGGTTTCCGTTTCTTAAGTTGCCTCATTTAACCGATTTTTGTATCTATCTGTCCGTTAACCATTTCTCTTATCTATCCATTCCTTTCTCCATTTATCAATCTCTTTCTTCAGTAACACGATCACCGCAACGGCCGCGTCTAGGTTCTTCCATTCCTTTCACTAACTTCCGATCTTTAATCTGTCTTTCTGCTTATCCATCCCTCTCCTTCCCCCATTCATTAACCTCTCCCTCTCCCCCTCGATCAACGCAACATTCTTCAATTCCTTCACTAACTTCCCGATCTTTAATCTGTCTATCAGCTTATCCATCCCTCTCCTTCCCCCATTCATTAACCTCTCCCTCTCCCCCCAGCAACTCGATCAACGCAACGTCTAGGTGATCTTTCTGGCTTATCGGGCGGGCGTGGCGACGGCGATCGTGAACGCGACGGCGCCCTCTCCGCGCATCCGCCTGCGCATCGTGGACCGCCTCGGGAGGGACATCAACGGCGCCAGGCTCGGGGAGGAGCTCTTCCTCAGGCTCGAGCTCGACGACGACAGTGAGTGCCTGTATATATGCATTTATTCTTTTTTTTTCTTTCATCTTCTCTCTCTCTCTCTTTTCTTCTTCTTTACCTTTTTCCTTTTTTTTTTTTTTTTTAGATCCGTTAACCATAGAGGACGATTAAAATACATCTATTTTTTAAAATTCTCTCGTTACAGGCACGTGGGGCTGGGGGAAGAGCGTGAGGATAGGGAGTGGGGGTGGGGTGGGGTTGAAGATGACGGTGAATGGGATTTGTGGGGGGGAAGATAGTGATGGATAGTGACATTTTTGGGGATGATTAAGGGGGAATATAGATGGTGATAACAGGGATGATGGTGAGCGTTTGAGTAGTTTTTTTACTGCACTTCGAGGAAAGTGGTTGTGAGAACCCCATCTGCTCGGGTATCGAGGACGTGGTGGCTGTGAACTAGACTCTGCCCGCCTCCGTGTTTGTATCCATGTCTGTGTCTCTCCTGTGGACGCGGCTTTGCTAAGCGGACGAGTTCGCGGGGCTTGTTCAGGGAGGGAAAGAGAGGTCGACAGGAACACACTGACCTTGGCTCAACCGGGCTCGGGGGTGAAAAGGTGAGCGGGAGTCTCTAATGTAGATATTAGTGATAGGAGTTGTTTGGGAGAGTTGACATATATGGGGAAAAGATAAAGATGGTAGTGAGTGTTCCGGAGAGTATTGGAGATAATGATACTGTCAGATTTTGATGGGAAAATAATGAAGATGGCGAATGTTTGTGGGAACTAAGAACATGGGGATTGTTATGAGTAGAGAATGATGATGGCGAGTGTGATGGCAGTAATGCTAGTGGCCCTAAAGGAATGATAATGTATTTATAGTTCGTGTATCTATTCGAGATTGTGTAGATTGTATGATGGCAGTAAGGACAATAAATCTATGATGACAGTAAAGATAATAAATGTATAGAATTACAATGACAGTGATCCGCGCTCCACCTCCCCTCTTCACAGGCGTCTACGGCATCCTGGCGAGGAACCTCGTAGCGAAGAGCGGCGACAACGCCAACTCCATCATCCTCCTGGACGAGCGAGGCTGCCCCGACGACCCCGCCATCTTCCCCTCCCTGCAGCCGCTGCCGGGGTCCAAGAGTCTGCAGGGCAAGTTCGAGGCATTCAAGTTCTCCGAGGACCAGGTCGTCCGCTTCCAGGTCAACGTCCAGTTTTGCCTCGAGGAGTGCAAGCCGGTGAGTGTGTTGTTGTTGTTGTTGTTGTCTTTGTTTGGGTTGCGTGTGGGGTTTATAGGGAGGAGGGAGTAGAGGGAGTGAGCGAGAGAGGGAGGGTTTAGAAAGATATAGAGACATGAAGGTGCAGAAGGGAAATAAAAAATCATAGCTATGCATAGAGAGAGAGATAGATAGGAGAGAGAGAAGAGAGAGAGAGAGAGAGAGAGAGAGAGAGAGAGAGAGAGAGAGAGAGAGAAAGAGAGAGAGAGAGATAGAATTGACGTCCTATATAACAACACCCCTTGCATCACCAAATCAGTTACCCCCAATCACCACGAATCCTTACCACTAACACACCATCCCCCCTCCAATCACCAATCACAACCAATCCTTACCACCGACGACCATTCCTCCCTCCCTCGCCCCTCCAATCCCCAACCACCACTGACCCCTTCCCCTCTCCCCGTCCCTCTCCAGGCGCAGTGCGGTAACATCCTCTCCTACGGGCGCCGACGTCGATCCGTAGGTGAAGGTGGCATCGTGACCTTAGGCGGCGAGTACAGCCTCATCGGCGGGGAGATTCAGCTGGAGGACGACCACGACGACCCCCCCGAGGACGACCACGACACGATCTACCACGAAATGCCTCTGCAGAAGGAGATCATTGTTGATAGCGAGACGGTGAAGCCTCTGAGGGCCGGTCTTTTGCCGGAAGAGACAGGTGAGATTGTTGTGTCTGACGTGCCTTGTGTCTGAGTGTGTCTGAGTGTTGTGTGTGTGTGTGTGTGTGTGCGTGTTGTGTGTGTGTGTGTGTGTGTGTGTGTGTGTGTGTGTGTGTGTGTGTGTGTGTGTGTGTGTGTGTGTGTGTGTGTGAGTGTGTGAGTGTGTGAGTGTGCATATGTCTGTTGTGTGTATGTGGTTTAGTATGTGTTTGGTTGAGTGTTGATGTGTGTGTGTGAGTGTGATTTTGTAAATGCTGAGGCCTTATGTGTGTTTATGTGTGACTGTGAGTCCATACCCCTTCCCACTTCTTTTCCCTCCAATCCATATGTTATAACAATAAAATAATAATGATGATAATAAGAGTAATAATAATAATAGTGATAATAATAATGATGATGATAATGATGACAATGATAATGATAATTGATAATAATAGTAATAATAATGATGATGATAAAAATGATAATCATTACAATAATGATAATGATAATAATAATAATAGTTAAGATAATAATAATAATAATGATAATAATGATAATAATGATAATGATAATAATGATAATAATGATAATGATAATAATAATGATAATGATAATAATGAGGATCATCGCAATAATAATGATGATTATGATAATAATAATAACAGTAGGAACAACAATAATGATAACAACCATAAGGATGATGATAATGTTGATGATAAACATACTATGGTTATAATAATGATAATAACAATAGTTATAATAATAGTTATAATAAAAAGTTATAATAATAATAATAATTGCAATAATGATAACGAGGACAACTTCAAAGACAATCATAATACCAATAATACGAACAGTATAGATAACAACAACACAACATAATAACA